TTTTTAAAGTCTACCCGAAACTAGACACACACAGTAGGACCTGCTTCCCCAACTATATTTGATGAGCATTAAAAACATGGTGCCAGGTCTTTTTAAGCATAGGAATGAAACAGGACTGTAGCTTTTTACATCTACATGGACCAGTATTGTTCCAATCATTACTTATAAAATCTATTTCCTCTGCTCAGTTTATCAGGACACCACATATTTTCAAAAGTGCTCCGACGTTTTCGGAGACGTCTGTTACCCACTAGCTCGATAGCTAGCCGGGGTTACAGGCTCACTAGAGCCGTGAGAACACCGGACTCCCGGCAGATCGTTTTCAAACCCACCGCCATCTTTCGCTACTCAGGTTAAATATATATAAGTCACTTAGATAACTTTAAAATGTTGTTGTTTGGCTTTTTTTTTTGTATTTTATTTGTTCCTGAGTAAATCGGTTTGGCTGAGATTAAAGTTATAGTTTTTACACAGCTGAATAAACGTCAAGCAGACAGCTGATTATCAGAAGTGTGAGATGCTCGAGAATTTACTCCGGTGTCCTGTTATATTTTAGATAGCAAGGAGTTTATTAAACTTCACCGAAACAATCTGCAGATTTCATTAAAATTTAATAAACTATCATCTTGTCTTTATTTTTAGTTAGCACAGACCTGAAACACTTAAAGCTGTAAGCTAATGATAGTTATATAAGAGCAGATGCTGCTGGTGCAATAAGCTGTACGTCCAATGGATGATGATCTGATTAGTCGACTAATCGCAAAAATAATCGGTGACTAGTCGACTATCAAAATAATTGTTTGTGGCAGCCCTAGTAACGATATATATCACGATATATTCTTTTCTTCTGTATAACGTATTTTCCACACTATAAGGCGCACTTAAAATCCTTTAATTTTCTCAAAAATCGAGAGTGTGCCTTATGTATGAATTCTGGTTGTGCTTACTGACCTCTAACCAATTTGGGGGTGCAGAAATCTGTTAAAAAATGTTTTAGTACAACTTTGGTAAGCCACACTGCTTGATGGATTGTCGGAGCATTACTGCCGTATAGTGATGCGCGAATCATGAACGAATCGTTCAATACTCGAGAATCATGATTCACAAGCCCAACTGACTCACTGACTCATCCCTGTTGCTGTTAGAAGCAATATATCTAGCTTATAATTACAACTGTGGAGAAAAACACAACATCCAGTATCTCAACAAAAACGTTTCTGCTCTGAACTGGAAGAAAAAACCCTGAGTAGAAGCTCACATCAAGACAATAGCTCCACGGTTCACAGTAGCACCGCTCTGCTAACATGCTAACAGCACATTTGAGCTACTCACCCCTCCCTCCTGGCTCACAGCTTCATTTTTTCTTGGTTGGCAACCAATGTTAAGGCGCATTACCGCCCCCTGGCTCACAGCTCAGTGGACATTTAGATGAGAAAATATATATTTGACACATTTAAGGAAAATACTAATAAAAAAAAAATAAACATAATAAATGTTTATTAAGCAATTTTAATAGGAAATTGCTTAATTTTAGAAATGTTTTTGCTCTTTTTTGCTCTATAAAATAGTTGTTTTCTTTTAGAATCATTCATCTTAGCAGTAGGATTTACATGAAAAGAGAAACAAATTAAGTTTGAGTGAAAATGTACATTTTTGCACTCTCTGGTCGACTGACTCAGTGAATCAAATGACTCAAAAAACCCGATTCACTTTGGTGAGTGACTCATTAAAACTCAATTCAGTAAAAAGAATCAAATTTACCACCACTACTGCCGTAGTGAGGAGCTTCGCTGATGCTATACACGGGCCAAACTTCAGTCAGGAGAACAACTGAGATTATTCATCCACAATACGAGGTTAGTCATTAATATACTGCAATAACATGGGAATAGAGCAGCTGCCAGAGAATTCAACATTAATGTATCAATGTTACGGAAGTGGAGGAAGCGCAGTTTTTGGATTTCCCCATATTTCAAAAGTGCTTCATCTCTTTGCTGTGACTGTCGCCCGGCATAATTTGCAGATGATAATGGTTCTGCGATGCTTTCGACCAAAACAGGTGCAGCTTGATGACATCATCAACATGCGCTATCGCGATAGAGCGATATAGTCAAAATCTCTATCGTTGGCCAAATTTCTATCGTTTCTATCGTATATCGTTTATATCGCCCACCCCTAGTCTGCCAGCCACCAGCCTCCCTGCAACTGCAAACTGGATAAGCAGCTAAGAAAATATTAGACTGGATGGGTTTAGGTGATCTGCTTCAGGAGACGATGAAAATAAAGTAAAAGCAACATAAAACCCTAAAAATAATATACCAAGTCATTTTTTATATCCTAAAATGAACAAACAACTCATCCTTGCACTTTTATTTTGAAAGACCCATCACTCCTAACACGCTAGGTCCTTCCCATCTCTTGACTTCCTCTCAGCAGGTTGTTATTGTAACACACCTTAGTGTCATTCAGCTGCTTCTACAGGGTCTCTTTATCCAGGTTACAGGTGGAGAACAGACTCATGTACCACCGCACTGAGCTCGCAGAGCAAACGACGACTATCATCAGCAGCTGCAGGGCAAGACTGTGGAGTCCATCCACAGGACGACAAACTCAGTACAGCAACAGTGGATTTTGTTAGCCTGTTACTGATCTGCACAAAGTACTTGCTTATTACGGTATTTGCAGAGGAAGGCCCCATAAAAGTATTTATTTAATAATTCATTTAAAAGAGCACGACTGTGACTCCCCCACACACCTGAGGGTGACAATGAAATACATCAGGATATACAAACATGATTTTATATTTGAACACAAAGTCTAACCCAGTCTTGCAATAACAAGGGATGAAACCAACACAAAAGTCCTGCGTTACGTCAACGCAATGAGGAAACAGTGGATGAGTGAGTTAAAATGATAACATAAGAGCGGCGAGTTTTACCAGCATCCTCCTGATAAGAGGGGATAATAGGAACCTCTCAGTTCCTACTGTCAAACACGCTGAGCTCACAAACCAGTTCCCACAACAAACAAGTTCACGTCTGTTATGAGCTGCTCAACATCAACATACAGAGTGATGACAGCGAGGAAAGAAAAAAAACAGGATGCATTTTTAATGAAGAGTTTGTTGTTTAGTTTTCATTATTCTTCTTCTCTTTTTTATTTTTAGCATTTATGGTGTTTCATGGTGAAAATGTCTCTAAAGCTGCTCAATAATGGAAAACAATCAGTTATTTTGGCTGATGCTATTTAACACGATTACTCAGGCTTTAGAAAAATTGTAGATTTGTTACATTTCAAATAAGAAAAGATGCACTGCTTTCCCTGAACTTTAATTATAATTCAAACAAACTGAACAAAACGTGCCACAGCTTAATAGGGAGCGAATCTGAACTTGTTTGGCACAAGAGAGGGACAAAGGTAAAGAAAGGAGATGTATAAGGCCAAAACAAAAGCATCCTGAAATATGTTTTCCATACAATAGATTTTAGTCACTTTCGGCTGATCAGTTAATTTTTTTTATGTGCTTTATATTGGTGTAATTCTACAGAAACTAAGACTTTGATACAAACAGCCAGAATATCACATCGAAGCTCTAACTTCCTGTACCTTAATACCCGAGTGGAACTAGACAAGTGAATGCTGTGACGTTTAAGGACAGCTCAGGAAACGAGTGAACTGCAAATACATCATCATAATGGAGGGTTTTTTCTTTGGTCATGAATAACTGATCAGGCAACCAAGACTTTCCTGTGTTTTGTTATTCATCTCGAGAAACCAACGCATTAACTAAACTGTGGTTTTGAAGAATGTTTACACCACTATGACTTGTATTTTATATGTGTTTGGTATTTTATAGCTTATTTAATATCGCGAGTACCTGCCGAAGGATTGTGGATGGAAAACATTTAATTTGGATACAATTGAATTGGTACAAGTTTTATGGGCATAGCACCAAACACATAATGACTAAAACTAATCTAAATTTAGAATCTCAGAGAAAAGCAATTTTTACCTATATTTACAACTTTAACTGAACAGGACATTAAGCCACTCCTGTCTATATATTTTTGCACATATACAATTATACCCGTTTCCTTTTAAAAGCCTAGTCACACTATCACACATTTCACAACTTCATATCTGAATCAGGTTATCTGCAGTGTAAATAAAAGATCTGCAGGTGCAGAGACACAGCAGCCACACACAGGAGCAACAAAGCCCCGCATGAATCACACTCATTTCATTAAAACGTGTTCTTCTAACCCCTGTATCATTCTTTCCACCTGCCACAAACCCAGTGCTGTGGACACCCCACACACTCACACGAAGTTTCACACACACAGCTCTTCTGTTAGAATTACTGCGCGTTTTATTGACTCTGAGCTGATTCAGTAACAACCTGTTGGAGATTAAAGCAGATAATCCGAGATCTTCAAAGAGATTTACGGCATTAAATTAGATCACTGGGCCTTTGATGGTGACAAGCCCAAGGATTTGACACAGCAGATCAAGTGTACACAGGCGGCTTGGTTAATGCAATAAGAGCTGGGATAGCGTCGTACTGACAGGCCACTATTTATTTAATCAATTAAGACAAAAAAAGTTCTGTTTGCAGCTTCTTAGGTGAGAAACGTTTAAGATCTTAAGGAATCGTAAGACTGACTTTTGACTTTTTGTTACAATTTCTGGATATTGTGAAAGAACAACATATCAGAACAGACTCTTTTAAGACATAAACTACATGTAGGACAGCACGATCCATTAAAGTTACCCATAAGAAGACTACAGGGGACATGGAGAAGCTTTAAAGTCGTTTTAACTTAATGTCTGTTTTATCGTACAGTCGGTTATGTAATGCTAGAGCCTCATTGAATAGATACCAATTGGCCGGAAGATTGCCACCCCACTGACAAACTTCACCGACTGCTACCGTTAGACTGATAAAATCAATGAGATGCCAGCCATCAAAAAGCCTGTTTTCATTCTTAGCATAGCTTTACCTGCGAGGGTTATGCCTCATCTGTACTTTGTCCTTGTAGTCCATGATGTCCTCTTCAGGAGAACCGGACTCTTCTGGATCTTCTGGCCTGCAGTCAAACTCGGGGGGAGCTGGCCAACGTTTCAAAGCAGACACTCGATGCTAACAGTAGCAGACCGCTTAATGCTAACTCGCTCGCTAACTGGCTAGCAGCAGCTAGAGGGACACTTAGCCCGCTCCTCCGCCTCACAGCAGCCTCCCCGCTGCCGCCGCTGCTGCCTGATATCCGCCAAAAATACAACGTCCGGTCATCATTCTGCAATACAGGCTCCACACACACCGCGCGTTTCTTCCAGCTGCCGTATTCTCATCACTGAATTCATCCTCCTCTCCCGTCCTCCAACTTTAGACTTGTTTGACAGACCGTTTGGCAGCCGCTGTGACATCCACCTGAAAAAACCAGGAAGTGTAGTAGAAGGCGGTGCAAACAAAGACTGCAGTGCGGGACGCGGCCAGCAGGGGGCACCAGATAGAATCCATCCATCCAATACACGACAGTTGTTCAAGTATGTTGAAAAAACAATTATAACACCGAAACATGATAAGTTACTAATATTATATAAAGTTACCGTATTCTGTTTCTGTTCTTCATGTTTGGAGCGGGGCATGTTTTGGGTCGTTGTTGTGTAGGAAAACAGACCAAAGACCCAGACACAGATTTACTGCTGACTGCTTGAGATTTTCTTTCAGAATCTTCACACATCCTTTTTTCTTCAATTCAGTTCTGTTAAATTTCATTTATAGGGTGAAGTCTAGTGATAGTTTTCTTTGAGACTACAATTCCCAACTCAGTCCTTTAGTCTTTAGAAACATTTACTACTAGCTTTCTTTCTTCCAGTCTTTGAAATCGTTCACTCCCTGCCTCTATCAGGTTTGTTCTGTAGTGAGCATCTCTTTAATTTCTTCATAATGTATTAATTATAATTAATGTATTATTAATAAAGTTTAGAAATGTTGTAATAACTTAGTGTATCTATCTCCTGCTTTGTGAGAAATAATGTCTACACTGATTTACTTTAATCACACTGCTTTCTCGGGTGATAGATAAACCTCGAAGGTTTTATGCCATGTATAAGATAACCGTCAGTTTGAACTTGATTTTGGAAGCTTTGAGCATTTTCAGTAGACACAACCTCAGCATTTGTAATGCGCACACTTGATGCTTCACCTCAAATGTCAAAGCATTTTCAAAATACTCCATCTCAAAAATGTCAAACCGATTAGAACAAGATTCAAAGCTTATTTTGAATAAATCACAAAGGCAGATGTTTGATCATTAATAGAATAGTTTATTTTATTTGAATGAACAAAAACAGCAAAGCGACGTTTACATCTGATCAGTAGGTAACGTCAAGGTGGAGGTGGAGAGGAACCATCTTTTAGACCAGGAATGAACAACAGGGAAGCAGAGCTGGAGGAAGGAAACAACCAGACATTAGAGATGCACGTGGTTTGATACGTCAGTAAGCACGCTGACGAGCACGACAAACGTTTTGTTTAAATAAAAAATAAAAAAATACTATTCTTACTGAGCTAGTATAAAATAAAGTACTATTCCAGTTTACATACAATTTACAAAACTTAAATTAAAAAAAAGATCTAAGATTAAACAAAAGCTGTATACAAAACATGAATGCAGCCACCATGACATCACCTATTGGCTCGTAAAGTCACCGTCTCACAGATGTTTTGAAACTTTACGTGCCTGCGAGACACAGACCTGACTGAGAAACTGAGTGATGCTGCGAGCTCATCACAGGGCAGCAACATTCATATGGTAGCCCCACCCTTAAGCAAACCTTGCTGTATCATCCATTTCTGACTCCATAATTTATAAGAACGGCCATCATGTTGTATTCAATGAGACTTTAAACAACTCAGAGACCAAACTCCACAGAGCCAACCGTCTTTTTTCTAAACACTTCTCTTCAATCTGAATTATTTCCAGTCAGAGTCGGCACTCCCTGTTGGCCTTTAGAAAACATACAAATTCAAAGGACCTCAGCAGCAGGCACCAAGCTGCGTTCATAATTAAACGTAACAGTTTCACTAAAACAAAATCTGAGCTTGCAAAAGAAAACATCTGCAATATTGTGAGATGGTCCATCTCCATGTACTGTGTTGCTCATGCATAATGTGCAGCTGTGAAGCTAAAGCCTGATGAAAGGTGAACTGCTTTACTTAACACTCAGCTTCAAGAGTGAAGTGGAAATACTTCAGAATAATGGAATTTATCATTTGTTTAGGATTCAATTAAGATCATGCCTGTGGTCAAAAAAAAAAAAAGACTTTTAAAAACATTTTTAAATTATTTAACTCTCCCCCCCCCAATTTTTTTAAAAGACTGAGATCTGCATCATTCTTTTGAAGAATTGCTACAGCACCTAACATGAAATACTTTCCAACAATGTTGTTCAGCGATGTGCAGACAGCCTTCAAACACTTTCTTGAAAACATGGCTGCTGTAATGTGTTTGCATGCCAATAAATCTGATCAGATCCACTTTCCCTATATTTAAAGCTAGCTGTGTCTCTTGTTCCAACCACAGATGTGAACTTTTTCCTTTGAATATGCAGCCCTGCTCAGTCACAGAAACTGCCCGTAAACAAGAAAGAAGTTGTTACAAACTGCAGTAATAATAAATTCTCAATATCTGCACATCTCGTATCATTTTCAGAAAATATTAAAAGGCTAATCCGACATATCGTAGATGAAAGTTCGTGCTTCCATGACCTGCTTTAGACTAAGAATATTATCTCCAGGAAAAAAAAAAAAAAGCAGAACGTTAATGCTGATGGAAACACCATCATATCATATGTTACACTCCATATGATACCGAAGTTTGAAATGACAATATTTAAAGCCAAGTAATGAGGCCCTCACCGTGGCTTTACTTCCCAGTGGGCTGCACACTCTCAAAGACCCCAGCTTCCCTCATGGCGTTGAAGTCTTTGATGGCATCGTACTGCTTGTAGAAGTCTGCGTACGCCTGTTTCTTGGGCTCTGTCACCGTGTACTGTGGGGAATAACAACAAAAATATGACAGAACTTACTGCAGGTAAAATTAGTATAACTACAGAGATAACAGAGACTACTCAAAGTATTAAAAGTGAAAGTAGGATACTCACTATGCAGAAGAGTAAAACTGGTCACAATAAAAAAAAAAACTATTATATTACTGTATTTATTTGTCAACATCAAAAATGTCATATCCTTTAAGTGAACGATTCATTGCATCTTATAAACTGATCTGAAAAAAAGAAGTTTAACTAGAAAATAAATGTGATGACTAAAATATGATCAGCTGTCTGCTGAGCTGTAAGTGGATCTAGACACTGACAGGACACTTGATGTGTTCCTTTCATCACGGCTGTGTCATTTTTTTAATCTTAGCATCACCATCAGAGTTGTGTTTGTAGCCGCCTGAGTGTGCGTCATCCTCTCACCTTGAATGCAATGGCAGCTGTTAAAGCCAGAGTGAAAGCAATGGGCAGGTGAAACCTCAGTCGCTTTGCAAGCAGCCCCCTCATCATTGGCTTTGGCAGAGACATGATGAATCACCTGCAGAGGGGAAAAAAAATACAAAAAAAAATCATTTAAATTTCCCCCCAATTATTAAATTCTGTACAAATATCAGAGAGAAAGAACAAAAGTACTGTCTTTATATCATTTCACTTTAAAATGTTTAAAACAATCATTTCCTGGTTAGTGATCAGAGTCAAATAAAAGCTGAATTTAACAACCCAATTTAAAGAATGACCCGATGTAAATACAATGAATACAAATCATGGTGTGTGTTTTGATAAAAGTGGATTTATAAAAATAAGATGCATGTAGTTTTATAGCTTCCATGTTTTACCATTGCCACCATGGAAGTTTTAATAGAGACAATAAAAACTGCAGTGACGACACAGAGAGTGACCGTGGAAGGAAATATGGGAGAAAACGTGGATGAGACTAAATGGCCTGCACACAAATTTTATGTATATCCAAATACTGCAGCACACTAAAAGTACCAGGATGCCTGTTGCCAGCATGCTTTGGTGGCTACTGTGACCCACTCAGCAAGGGGGTCAAAGGTGAAAGTACAAAGTCAAAATATGTTGGAATTGTACACATACTGAATACTGCAGTACATACAAAGTAGTTTTTAAATGCAGTTTGCTAAGCAGACAGTTTTGAAAACAATGAGACTTGTCCCTGATTCACCACAAAATTTCACCATGTTGGCTTTATTCTGTAGTTTTGCTATAATAAATGGACTAAATGGGCTTCTAACATAGTCCTTTCTTACTCTGAGCAATCCAATTACTCACCCATTCACAAGCACTTTTTCCAATTACTTTTCTATGCAATTGCTTTCTAACATTCACACACATTCATACTATGACGGATGCATCAGAGAGGAATTTAGGTTAGTATCTTGCCCCAAGGATCTCTGGAATGAGGACTGATTGCCTTGGATTGATCCACCAACCTTTCGATGAGTGCATGATCCGTTTCTACCTTTCCACCAAAACACATTTAACAGAAACTGAATTTAATGCAACTTTATAAAATAAACTTGATCAATTTTTAAGACAAAAACAAAGATTTTAATTTGTGAAACTCATTTTTGGATTTTTAGACTATTAAAAAACAGAAACCCTGTTGGTGACAAACCAAGGCTGCAAATCTCCTCACTGGACAAACTGAAATCTGAAAATATCTTCCATAAGACACCCTTTTCCCTAAAAACTGACACAACAATTAAACTCACTATTTGACTAAATTAACTTAGTAATAATAAAACAAAATCGGTACATTTTCCTTTAATTTCTCATTTTTGATAAATAAAAATACATTTCATACAGTATATTAACCCTACTTAAACATAATGTGTAAAAAACACATTTATCTCAGTCCTGATTTTTTTTTTTTAATAACGCAGGAAAGTTTTAATCTTGAAACCTTGAAATGCATGTAGACATTTACTCAGGCAGTTATTCTGAATCATTTCATAGATTAAAGTTAATTTCGGTAGTCACCAAAATATAAAGACTATACAAATAAGAACCCGACTAACAGTTGATATATCTGCTTTAAAAAGGTGTGATAAAAGCTTTATTCGGCTGGAAGTTATACCGTCATCTTTGTTGGTGCAGATTTAAATCCTGGATTCTTTAATGGTCATGTTTCCACCTCACGTCTCTGGCACCAGTTAATAAATAAAAGCGGGTAAAATGACCCATCTGAGGCTCCTAATTCGCCTGAAGGTCGTTAGCAGTCACCCCTAAATGAACCTGCTGTTCTCAGATCCCTGCTTCACCTGAACTAACTCAATACGACATACAAGATCCAAGACAACAATAAAATATTGAAAACACGCAGAATGAAATGAATCCG